CATGCATTTCTGTTTATCTCTCTTAGTATACTTCCACTTAAGACTATACATCTAAATCCAAGCACATGCATTTCCGTTTATCTCTCTTAGTATACGTCCACTTAAGATTATACATCTAAATCCAAACACATGGGCTTTCGTGAGTCTGACTTAGTATACGTTCACATAAGAACATACCTGTAAATCCGTTTGTCCGCCTATTCCCAACAGATTGCCAAGCCCAGAACAGAGATGTCTGGTACATTGGATGTGTGGGAAGGGTTTTGGGCGGGATGGAAACCCAGGTGGTGTGTGTTAAAGGACGGCGACTTTGTAGTCTATAGGTGAGTCACTATATTAACTGTTGTGTTGGTTTAACTGACTTTGTAGTCTATAGGTGAGTCACTATATTTTCCGTTGTGTTGATATTAACTGTTGTGTTGGTTTAACTGACTTTGTAGTCTATAGTCAATGCTTATGAGTACTATCATGTGTTGGTAGTATGGTTATGAGTACTAACATGTGTTGGTAGTATGAATATGAGTACTATTATGTGTTGGTAGTATGGTTATGAGTACTATCATGTGTTGGTAGTATGGTTATGAGTACTATCATGTTTTGGTAGTATGATTATGAGTACTATCATGTGTTGGTAGTATGAATATGAGTACTATCATGTGTTGGTAGTATGGTTATGAGTACTATCATGTGTTGGTAGTATGAATATGAGTACTATCATGTGTTGGTAGTATGAATAAGAGTACTATCTTGTGTTGGTAGTATGGTTATGAGTACTATCATGTGTTGGTAGTATGAATATGAGTACTATCATGTGTTGGTAGTATGAATATGAGTACTATCATGTGTTGGTAGTATGAATATGAGTACTATCATGTATTTGTGCACTAGTTTAACACGTTGATTTTACTTTGAGTTTTGGTCACGTACATAAACGCCTGCAAGGAAGTTGTCGTATTCTAATCACAATCTGCAGGCAGTCGACACTGTAAGTCTAGTGAGATGGGATCGTAAAACCCTAAAACCCTAAAACGGGATATTAGTAACGGGAGTAACTTGCTGGGTCCAATGAACACTAAGGCACATTCTCATATGAATACATACGCACAGAATATCTCCATCCCACACCCGCTCACTCTCACTCACATACAACACTACGCCATCCATTCTCATACAAATACATACGCACAGAATATCTCCACCCCACACCCGCTCACTCTCACTCACACACAACTCTACGGTATCTATTCCCATACGAATACATACGCACAGAATATCTTCATCCCACACCCGCTCCCTCTCACTCACATACAACTCTACGATATCCACGCCATGCGTGCCACCTCAGCGATGAGAAGTCGATGAAGGAAATCGCACGCATCTCCGTACGCGGAGAGGGTGTGCGCACAAGTATAGACACGCGCAGAACGCCCGGAATGGTAGAGGAGACCAGTGCCCGAGTGGGGACGGGTGGGGGTGGGCCCAAGCGACTGAGCGGCGGCGCATCAACCGATGACTTGACTGGGACTACGCAGGACAATGACAAGTACATGTCCTTCATAACACACACACCGCAGAGAAGCCATCATGTGCACGTGAGGGCGGCATCCATCATGGAACGCGATAAGTATGTGCGCCCCCGCACAAGAACAGCGCCACACGCACTCGCGCGAATGTTTTAGGGTTTAGGATTTCAGGTTTTATGTTGTAGGGTTTTATATTCTAGGGTTTTAGGGGTTTTTAAATCAGTACACCCGTTGTAATTGCGCAGCCCAACTGTGGGTACGATATGGACACGCACTAGTCCAACGGGTAACGCAACAGAGTGCTTTTGGCGCGTGTTGCTATCCTCGTTCGTTCCAGAGCATTGGGTTCTGGTTGCATCACTGCGCGGGAGTGAAGTTGGTGATGGCAATAGGCTGAGCGTATGTATATGCATGTGGGGTGTATTGCTGAGTGTATGTATATGCATGTGGGGTGTATTGCTGAGTGTAAGTATATGCATGTGGCGTGT